ACAAAATGCTACTAACTGCACCAAGCAAAGGTTTTTTCCTTTCCATTCTAGTCATCTCGGGGGGTCACTTAACAAAAGGGGGTAGGAAGTTACCCCTGGAAGTGTGATATTGTGAACGCTGGTTGTCCCCCGTTCAATGAGGACAGCATGGGCTCCGCCACACAGCTTCTCACGCCCCGGGCACCGTCCTGTGGGAAGCCTGGCGTGCCACTGCCCGCTCATGACGGGCTTTCTCCCACCCAGCCTGCACAATGCGTCTCTTACCCACAGAGTGGCTCATTTCCGCTTCGGTGGCTTCTTCTGCATTCACTGGCCCTGGAATTGCCGGTACGCTCAGCAAATGACCGACATGCGGCAGGCTCCAGCAGGCTGGATGGGCGAATTTGGTTCCAAAGTTGCTGTTAATGGAATTTCCCAGCCTGCATCATTTACGTGGGCAAACTCCATTTGGGCTGCGCGCCAGCTTTCAGCTCTCTTGCATCTCCCCAGCATGGTGATCTTGTGATTATCATCGTTACTGTGATTATTATTTGGAAACTCACTTGGAAAGGCGTCGTCTTTCAGCGATGAGCCTAAGCAGCCTGTGCCAGGAACTTGCAGCCAACTTCCTCCCCATTTCGTTAGCGGATTTTTCAAGATCTGAAGAAGGGGGCGGGGGCGTCAGAGATTCAGGAATAGTTCTCTGGAAGTCAGAAAGAGCCCGGGGCCAACCTGATGGCTTTTCAGAGGCCTCTGGGAAAGAAGTTGTGCTTCTCAGTCCATTTTCTAGTGCCCAATGTTATGCTAAATTCCTCTAGGCAGGGTCTATAAGGTGGCTCCCCAGAGGGGAGAGAGAGAGAGTGGCTGTGCGTGACAAACTGGACCGAGGCTGATGAAAGGACAGAGTGTATATCCGAGAGGACAGTAGACAGCCCCAGCTGGTCTCTAGCACTTTTCTGCCCGGCTCTGAGAACAGTGCTGAGTGTCGCTAAGCCGCAATGTGTGTGTCTGTCTGCTGAGGGTGACCAGGGGGAGGTACTGGCAAAGATGAGTTACAGGGGGAGTGCCGGCAGCATATATGTCTTTGGGTAATGAGGGTGCGTCTGTGCTTACCGGTTTCATTTTCAGTTTACTGTGTAACAGTCTCTCGTGCTTCTGGGGCACCTTTCGTCCCAAAGGATCCCACAGTGTTCGCAAACGATTTCTGCAGAGGTCACTTCTCCCGGCCTTGAAATGCAGCCGCCTCTGGGGTGCAGAGCTGCGCAGCAGAACAGGGACAGGAGATGGGGACGTTTTGGGCCAGGGCCAAACCCCAGCACTGACACAAAGTGCCCTGAGATCGTTAATATCCCCACGGCGCAGACAGGACCTCAGCTTGTTAAGCAGCCCCCTTTAAAGGGCCACGTACGCCAATGTCATGGGAACTCCAAAGCGGAGTCTGCCTGGACAGGATCTAAATGTGAGGTTCCTAGGCAGTAGGGAGAAATGGGTGTAAATGCGCCTCGAGCCGGCTCCCCATCCCCTCCTAACACCCCGGTGCAGCCCCCTCCCTGGCTCATTGATGCAGCCTGCTGACCTCCCGCCCTGCCCCGGTACAGTCTTCTCCCCACCACCCCGGGCAGCCCACTCCCCATCGCTAGCCCTGCTGCCTCCCACTGGCTTGGCAAACCAATTTCTCATTCCCCCCACCCTGGAGGAAATGCACCCAAAGCATGCTGGGCAATTTGCAGGACCAGTCCAGCCCCCGTGCCCAGCCGCGCTGAGGGCTGGCTCCTGATGGCTTACTCATGTTGATGGGAGCTTTGTGACCGGTGCAGTTCCATGGAAATCAGCTCTCTGCCTGGGGATGTTGTGGGAGTAAATTAACATCAGCTCCTACGTTGGTCCCTCAGTGGCCATCTGTAAATCCAGCACGTGAAACCCATAGCGGTCCCCTGGGCTAAAAGACACTGGCGTAAGTATGAGCCTTTCTTATTGTTGTGGCTGATTTCCTGGCCTTTGGAGTCGGGATTCCTTGGGCTCACGTCAATCCCGCGGGCCCTGTTAGAAATCAGATCAAACAGCTTCGAGCTGGTGCCGGGAGCCCGTTCTGCCACGGGTGCCCTATGTGCAAATCACCGAGCCGCTCTGTACCTCAGTTTCCCCATCTGCAGAATGGGCGTAAAAGTCTTTCTCCACCTCCCAGCAGGGCGCCGAGCGGAGCGTTAATTAGCTAATCGCCGTTGTGTCGTTAGGAGCGGTGCACGGTCTGGGGGAACGGAGCTAGGATCCCTGTCTTAGCAGAACAGCGTGCTGTAAAGTGATGATTGCTCGGCGTGATTAGCAATTCCCCGCTCCTTCCTTCCCTCCGGGATTTCCCGCTGGGCCAGGTGCTGCATGTTAGTTGGTGTCATTGCCATGGAGACAGCCGCCCTCCCCCTCTGCTAAAGTGGACATCTGCACTCAGGCGCTGGAATCCAGGCCAAACCCTGCTCCCTCCTCCCCGGCGGATTGCCCCTCGCAGCGAAGAGCTGGGGGGCGGGGGGAGAACCCAGCCCTTAACGCGGCTCTGGGTCCCACCCCCAGCTTTACAAAGCCTGCAAGCCTCTCCCCAGAGGTGTCGCCTCTTTGCAGCCAGGCTGCTGTGGGGGGGGGGGGGGGGTGGAAAAGGGGGGCTGGCGGGGGTGCAAACAAAGAAGTGGACTGGAATGTGCTCTAGCTTCCTGGCACGGAGACCTGTTTTCCCTGGCCAGGCTCTGAGATGCACTTCTCTAGGGCTTGTTCCCGTGGACGGGGGCAGGGGGAGGGCGCTCAGGCTGTGAGAACCATCCCTGGCTTAGTTAGTTGGACTTGCTCGGCCCCTCTGCTCGGAAGGGTCCCTTCAGGGTGCCCACCCCGTCGCCGCCAGCCCGTGTCTCTCTTGAGCTCTGTCTCCTGTCTGCTGCTCCCGGGCCTTGCAGCGCGTTGTATGGCTGTAGCGTACATTTCACTCTCGCTGATTGCTGTGGGCTCCGTCTGGTTCCCTGTCCAAAAGCCACCATCACAGCTGGCTCTGCTGCCTGTGCCAATGCCTGGCTAAGTCAAACTCCCACGCACTGCAGTGGCCTTCCAACCAGGCCCTGAATTGGTACCTCTGCTGGCAGCCTCCAAAGCAAGGTGGAGGATTGATCAAGAGGGAAGGGGTGGGCCGGTGGTTTGGGCGCTAGCCAGAGACCCAGGTTCAATCCCCTGCTCTGGCCCACATGACTTGTGTGGCCTTGGACAAGTCATTTAATCTCCCTGTGTGCCTCAGTTCCCATCTGTAAAATGGGGATAGCACCCTTCCTACTGGGGTGTAACGGAGATACTGGCGCTCAGGTGTGATGGGAATGGGAGATGCAAACTCTTAATGGTTATTTAGGGTGCATTTTCCATCCCATTGGAGTCCGTGGAAACGGCAGGTGCCCCGCGGATCAGGCCTTGCGTGTTACAAAGGCCACTTTCCCCATCATTGACAGGCATCCACCTCTGGGTGAAAGGCAGCTTTACGCCTATTCTGGATGTGGGGCTTGGTGCACGGGTGGCTGGGTGCTGTGGGTGGCCTGTGCCAGACAGGAGGTCAGACTGGATAATCTACTGCTCCCTTCTGGCCTTAAACTCTATGCCGCTAACATCCAGCTTGGTCCTGGTTCAGCGCGGGCGGGCTGAGCTTGATGACCCCTCAAGGTCCCTCCTCCCAGGCCTCCAGGTCTCTGATCGTCCGGGCAGCACAGCAGCCGTGCAGGACAGAAAGGGAAGAGTTATTGTCTGCAGTGGAATTCCCAGGGTATTGGGAGAATAACCACTTGGCCAGGATGCCAGAGCCTAGTCTTGCTTTTTAGGAAGGAGCCATACCTGGCTTCAAGACGAAGCTTGAGAAGTTTATGGAGGGGATGGTATGATGGGATAGCCTCATTTTGGCAATTAATTGATCTTTGATTATTAGCAGGTAAATATGCCCAATGGCTGTGATGGGATGTTAGATGGGGTGGGACCTGAGATACTACAGAGAATTCTTTCCTGGGTGTCTGGCTGGTGAGTCTTGCCCACATGCTCAGGGTTTATTTGGGGTCGGGAAGGAATTTTCCACCAGGGCAGATTGGCAGAGGCCCTGGGGGTTTTTCGCCTTCCTCTGCAGTGTCGGGCACGGGTCACTTGCTGGAGGATTCTCTGCACCTTGAAGACTTTAAACCATGATTTGAGGACTTGAATAGCTCAGACATAGGTCAGGGGTTTGATACAGGAGTGGGTGGGTGAGATTCTGTGGCCTGCGTTGTGCAGGAGGCCAGACTAGACCATCATAATGGTCTCTTCTGACCTTGAAGTCTATGAGTCTATGATTCTTAGCCACTCAGGAGCCGTGCTGACACTAACTAATCACCGTAGAAGTCCATTTTATTTCCAGCGGTGTGTTGCGTACGCCGCCCACTGCACTAGAGATGCCAGAGATCTCGGGGGTTACCTTAGCCCCGACCTCGCCTACGCAGGACTGGCTCTTCCAGTGAATTGTAGGAGGGGAGAAGGGTCCAGGGGAGGAGGGGATCCCGGCTTCTTTGATGACCACATGTGATAAGGACTTTTGCTCGATGTCTCCTCTGACCACAAGCCCCTCCTGCAGCACCAATCCCTGTAGCACTGTGCTGGGTATCCACGCAGAGCAAAGGCTGTATTGGCAGTGGGCACGTCCATTCCTTGGTTCTCTCCAGGTTGGCATCGGGGCGGCAGGGTGATTTCCCGCACATGCTGTGCCTATCCTGTAGGAATCAGAAGGCTCCGGCTACCTTAGCCTCTATGCGGGCCCCTTAAGGCAGCGCAGATGGCCCTTTAAAAATGTTTGGGGGTAAAGAGTCCCCGAGATGCCAAGGAGCTGGAGTCATCAGGTGAGGAGTGGCTCGTGCCTGAGATAAATCACCAACGTGCCAGCTGCCACGTGGCTCCCTAAGGGTGAATTTGAACCTGGATGAGCCTGTTGCTGGGCATCGTCCTTTTTAACGAGTGCTTCCTGCCGTGTGCTTGAATTCCAGGGGTGGAGTCACGGGACAAGTCCCCGGAGGAGCCCGGACCGCTGAGCCGAAGACGCACGACCAGCGACGGCCAGTACGAGAACAGTCCCCAGGAGCCCAGCACGCCCCGGAGCCCCACTGCCCGATCGCCGGTCCACAGCTTCTCGCCAGAGGTGGTCAGCAGCATCGCCGCCAACCCGGGAGGGAGGCCCAAAGAGGTGCCTTTTCCTTGGTCTTTCCCCCTGTTGCTTTGTAGCGGGGCGCGTGGTAATGTGGACAGCGCTGCTGGAGGGGGACCTCGCCATTCAACCCCAGTTGCCAGGGGGTGGGTGGAGGGGGCTGAGGCTTTCCAGAGACCCACAAAGAAGCTGAAGAAAGCCCCTAGTTCTTTCTGGCAATGAAGCCCCAGCGTCCGTGAGCCTGGGTTGGTGGGTGGCTGGGGGTCATGCTTCTGTAATGGGGCCGCGTTTGCCTGGGGTCTGCTCTTGCCGCGACTGACTCGGCCTCGCTTGCTTCCTTCCGCAGCCTCATCTCCACAGCTACAAGGAAGCCTTTGAAGAGCTGGAGGGGACCTCTCCACCCAGCCCACCCTCCAGCGGTGGTGAGATCTCTCCCCCAACCCCCGCCTTTCCTGTCTCGCCGCAAACCCCTTACGGTCACCTGCGTAAGTTCCGCGGCTCCGGGAGGCGGTGGGAACCAGCGGGCGGCTCTAGCAAAGCCAGATAAATGCAGCAGGTCAAGCCGCTCCAAATTCCAGACACCTGCCGCCATTTCATCTCTTTCTCTCGTTCTCTCATCCCTCCACCCCTTTCCCACGGCAATTCCTTCTGTCACTTCTCTTCTCTGCTTGACACCCCCCTCCGCCACTCCACGCGCTGCAGATTTCCTTGGGTTCGTTGTTATTTCGTTTCGACAGCCACGTTTTACAGATAGCGGGGTGTAAAATCACGGTCCTGGGGGCCCCTGAGGGCATGTGATGGAAATAATCGAATCCTATTTTGGGGGACGCGCCCCCATCTGTCACGAAAGCACCCTGAAAATAAACCTATCTCTGTATACTGAGGAGGCTCCCATTTCAGTTAGTTTCCCCTCTACATGGTGTATGTGATATACCGCCCTGGCTCCCACCGCTTCGTCTTCTGAGTGATGGCTGCTGCATGATGCCAAGTACCTTTGGGATACTCTCCAGCATCCTGACCCTCCAGAGCAACCAGCGTAGATCTCCGATCACGTTGCTCTCCGCCACAGCCGCGTGACGTTCCAAAGCTCAACTCGGAGCAATAACTTCCGCAGCCGATCCCCTCCTTTTGAGAGGGACCCCGGCACATCTCTCCAGAATCCCAAACTGAACGTCCTCCCAGCTCGAGAGTTTTAAAAAAAGCAAATCTTTTTGGGGCGGGAAGAATCCAAACCGTTGGCTCCATTGCCGAGCTGTTTAGGGATCTCCGCTCAGTCCCGCGTCAGCGACAGCTTTTCGAGACAGCACCACTTTGAAGTGACACCTCCCAGTCTGACAAAGCCGGGAGGAGGAACTTTCTCCCATTCAGACCCAGCCCCTGCTCCTAGCTCTGGATGGGAGAGTTGATTTTTAAACCAGGGACTTGGGGGGGGGGGGGGGGGGGGGGCACAGAAAGGCTATTTTAGGTCAATTTGCGTGGCTTCCTCCGAGTCCTGGACAGTTGGACTCATGGTAGCTAAGACCGCTAGTTTGGAAGGTGGAAGGTTATGAAAAATAGTCCCGATGCAATGGTTTTAAAACTCCCTGAAATATTCCCCAAAGAGGGTTTCTGTAACCCCGAGACAGGATACACGCTGGCCAGGAGTAGGATAAAGTTGGCATCAGCCCTTATTTGGGCTGATCTGCTTTGACCAAGGCAAAAAGTCCTTTGTACTACGCCACTGACAAGCTGTGATCAGAGCCCCAGTGCTGTCGGTACTGTACAGTCCTATCATGCAAATATTGTCCTGGCCTCAAAGAGCTTAAACTAAGGACTAGCATGTTTCCCCCATGTACCTAGCTAAAGACATGCTGTGTGTGCACGTGTGTATATTGCATGGAATTCAACTCCCTTTAAAGAAGGCCCGTTTTGGGTTGACACTGTCCATTTAAATCCATTCACCGTTAATATCCGGATGGCCAGATAGGAGCCCATGGCGTGTAGCCGAGTGCAAGGTGAATCCCCTTTACCTGAACAGAGTTGCAGATGGGAAGGGTGAATGACAAGGGAAGTTAGATGCTACTTAACATGCAGGTGCTCTGCTGAGCCTAAGGTAGGCAAAGGAGGTTTCAGCAGTTGCTTTGCTGCTGGAATTGTCTGATCCTTGCAAGTGGCTGAGAAAGTCTGACCCTCGAACGTCCTGTTGCATGTTCTGACCTCCTGACTCCTCCAGCTGAGCATGCGTCCTCCTGGCTAACCCTTGATAACTTGGTGGTAGGTTTGGAAGAAGTGAATTCCGCTTTGACCGGTTCTGCCGCTGTCCCGGTGCCACAACGGCACGGCTGAATCAGGCTGCACCAGCACAATGCATTGCTGAGCAACTGGGGAAAAAAGCAATGGCTGCATTTGATATTCCTATGTATTTGTAAGTGCAATAGCAGAGCTGAAAATGGATTGAGATCAGGGCTGGCTTTAGGCCGATTGGCCCAATTCCCCTGAATCGGGCCCCGCGCCTAAGAGGGCCCCGCGCCCAGTGGCCTTTTTAATATTTACTCACCTGGCGGCGCTGCGGGTCTTAGGCAGCGGGTCCTTCACTCGCTCTGGGTCTTCGGCGGCACGTCCTTCACTCGCACCGAAGGACCCGGAGCCGAAGTGCCGCCGAAGACTTGGAGTGCCGCCCGGTAAGTACAAGCCCCACGAATCGGGCCCCGCACTTACTAAAGCCGGCCCTGATTGAGATGCTCTGGTCCCGATCAGGAGAGATTTTCCAACATGGCAGTCACCTCCCAAACTATATTCTCCACGTCTCCTGTCTCTGAACCTTGTGGATGTCCCACGGCCTTAGACTAGTGCTGGGCAAAAATTTTCACTCAAAACTTTTTTGGGGGGTGAAAAATGCAGATTTGGCGACAGCAAAACCTTTCCCAAATTCACGTCAATTTAGTCAAATTGTTTTGATTTTTTTCATCATTTTATTTTTAGGAGGTTTTTTTTGACCGAAACGTTTCAATTTTTCGGTTTGAAATGACTTTTCCTTTCCACATTTCCTTTCATTTTATTTTATAAAAAAAACGAAAAACCTTTTCAAACAGTTGAAATTGAAACGTTTCATCTCGGGTTTCATTTGAAAAAATGAGTTTTCTGTTCAATCCCCAATACATTTTTTTTGCATTTCCAGTGAACTTGAAACATCTGTTATTCGCTCAGCCCCCATTGGTGGCTGCAGTTGCTACACACCAAGTTTAGCAGGAGAGTTGTTTTTAACCCCTTTGGTGCCACCCTCTCCCCTCAGAAACACACATCTGGGCAAGGTCATCGCCCGTTGGTGATGAAGGGTGAGGGTGTGGCTGGGACGTTCGGCTGCACTTTGAATGCTCAGCTGCTGCAGGGTGAATTTCAGAGTGACAGGTTAATCGTATAGGCTTGAGCTGTGCCCTCGGGGCAACATTTCTTACCCAGTGCAAAACGGGGACTCTTTTGCATCTCATCCCTGGCCAGCTTCTCGACCAAGCAGGCTCAGGTGAACTCCCGAGCAACATCAGAGCTGAATCTTTTGAGATTTGCCTATTGCTGCTACAGACGGACCCATAGGGAGCTCCCCGATCCAAACACCCCCCCAGGTTTGGGGGAAGTGCACTTATGAACCAGAATCCCAGATCCAACTGCCCACTTTCCCATGAGAGGGAAATTTGAATCCTCATCCAGATCAGAACCTCACAGCTGGGGCTTCTGTGGTTTGTCGGACGGCGGAGACGTGAGTTAATTTCATTTCCGCTAGGAGAGCTGGTGACCATGACATCGCTGCTCACTGCAGGCTAGATTTCATGATGGTTTGGGGGTTAAACCCATATGCTTGCATCTGGCTCTGCCGGATTTTCCCCCCGTGCAACAACCCCCAGCCATTGAGAAGCAGGCCCAGCGCATTAGCGGTAACACTTGGCTGGAACGTCTTGGCCCGTCCGTGGAATTGCTTGGTTTCCCAGTATCTCATCTGCATTGAGCAAACAGTTCTAACCAACGTCGCAGCCGTGAAAACGTGAGTTCATGTGGACTGGCTTTTGTTTCCACGCCTGCCTCCCGCCTCCTCCCGCTGCCAGCGTGGGTGCCCGTCTGAATCTGTAAGTCAGAAGGTTGAAATGCAAGCAGCGGATAAAGCTAAAGGAATGTGTCAAGTTTCCTTTAGGGAGGTTGGAGCCTCGTTTGTCTCCTTGTTTTTGCTTTTGGCAGCATTCCCACACCTCTTCGGTGTCCTGAGATCTCTTCCTCCCAGTTAGAAAGCCTGAATTGTTTCGAGCTGGTAAAATGCAGTGTCAGGGAGATAGAAATCAACGGCAAGAACTCCCCACACACACACACACACACACACAATAAAGCCTTAGAAATCAACGGCAAGAACTCCATACACACACACACACACACACACACTAAAGCCTTATTTGTGAGACTTGTAGTACGCGCATCTCACATATACATCTGCATCCATTTGCTCCATCACTCCCTGCTTCATATGTGTACCCTATATATAGTATGTGTGCTATATATATACACCCTCCCCCACCTTATATGTACATACGACATACCGGCCTCTCTCTATATAATATATACGTGCAATAGAGCTATGGAACACATGTTGTGTGCATTTGTAAACAGGCTGGTGGGTATGTGACACATGTGTCGCTGCACATCTGGCTGGTTTTCCAGACGTGTATCTACACCATATGTGTGAAAGTTCATGTCATGGGCACCGTTTAGGTCTCTCTACCAGAACGAATCCAGTAGGTAGAGCGAATGCTACGACGTAAAGTGTGGGCCCTAAGTTAGTTTTCCCAGGGGAAGATTAGGTAATGGGCCTGTTTGGTGAGCATGGTGGTTTGAATTGATGAGGGCCGTATTCTGTTCTCGTATACACCAGGGTGAATCTGGAGTATCTCAGTTGAAGTCAATGGAGCCCCTCTGGATTTAGATCTAGGGGACGGAGATCGGAATCTGGCCCACTGTGTTTATGTTAATATCAGTCTGAGTCCAGATGAAATGCTATGTTCTTGGAGGCATCTCTGCAAACTGTGCCTTGAGAAATGAGCCTCCCCCCCCAGCAGACACATACTGGGCGGTCTCATGTTTTGGAGTGTGGAAGTCAGGACTCCTGGGTTCTAGCCCTAGCTGCGCCGCCAACTTCCCGAGTCAATGCGGGCAGGACGTGCTACCTTTGTGTGCCTCAGTTTACCAACCTGTCCAATGAGGGGAGTGCAGCTAAATGCCCTCATAGGGTGGGGAGGTGTCATCAATTAAGCATGGCAGGGAGTCTGAATCAGTGAGCGTTGGGGAAGGAGCTTTGAGATCCCTGGATGAGAGGCGCTGAGGCAATGGAGGGCGCTGTTATCCAGCCAGGGGGCTGCCACTTTGCCGACTTGCCCAGCGTTAGGATTCCTGCAAGCCCTGGGAAGTCATTCCTGCTGGTGGACTGTCCCTAATGGTGGCGATGCCAAGGTGCTCTCTCCTCTAGGAGGCAAGGCCTTCAGGCTCCCAGCACACTCAAGCAGGGTTTATGGGCATCAAAGGAATTTATAATCCTGCCCCGCCCTCTGGGCCCCTCAATCCATCTTCCCGCAACTGCCCATCAATCATCAGCAGGGGGTTTCTTCGTCTCCCCCCGTGTCTAGGTTCCCTCCGCACGCGGCCGGCATCGGGCCTGGCCGAATCACCGTCTCCATAAAAGAGAAGCCAAAGGTGTCACTTCTAATAAGGGGGCCTGCTCTCGGCTCCTGCATTCCTGGGGTTTCTGCAGGCCAGCGGGCTTAAGTGTTTCCAGTTGCACATGCACCTTGCCAGGACATAATGACAGTCATTAAGTAGCACACGTAGCGCTGAGGCTATAAACTCACATTTAGTAACAACCGAGATGACTCTAGGATTTATTGCGCTTTAAATTTAATTCCTCTTTTGATACCGTTGGGTTTATTTTATTTCTTTTGCCTGACTACAGTGCGCTCCCCACCCGGCCTGGCCAAGACCCCGCTGTCTGCATTGGGACTGAAGCCCCATAACCCATCCGAGATTCTGCTGCAGCCGACGGGAGGTAAGCGAATGGGTGGGGACGGGGGGCTGGTTGCAGACTGAAGGTGCTGGAAGTTAGGGCCAGTTCATCCTGGCATCTTATGCCCCTCTCGGCTATATTGAATCAGAGAATCATGCCGCTGCACAGAGAGGTCGAGAATGCATTGTTTCTCCAGGGGCTTCTGCTGAGGCTGAATTTGCAACGTTAGCCCGTCAGGGTCACTGAGGCTGACTGGGTTCGGTCACTTGCGTGTGCACCCAAGACTTTGAGATGTATGCTGCTGGACACCAACAGTGTGCCTCAGGGACTGCGGCCAGCAGAGGAAGGGTCTTGTAGCAGCAGTGGGGTTGAGAAATATGCCTGTCGATTATAAGAACTTAAGAACGGCCAGACTGGATCAGACCAAAGGTCCACCTAGCCCAGTGTCCTGACTTCTGACAGTGGCCAATGCCAGGTGCTTCAGAGGGAATGAACAGAACAGGGTAATCATCAAGTGATCCGTATGTATTGGTATACTAAATTCTGCCTTAGCGCAGGGGGGTCATAGAACCAAAGGGTTAGAAGGGTCCACCAGGGTCATCTAGTTCGACCCCCTGCCAAGATCCAAGGATGGGCTAGCTAGATGACCTCTTGAGGGCCCTTGCAGGCCTAGAACCAGGTTACACTTATCCCGCTGGGCAGGTTGTCCCATAGCTGCATACCATAGGAGTTCCTTGCATTTGCCTCTGAAGCAGTTGGTGCTGGCTACTATTAGGTCACTGGCCTCACTGGACATGGGGGGGTCTGATCCAGGCTGGCTATTCCTACGTTATCAAACAACAAGTTTCAAGAAGGCAAGGGACATGGTCGCCCATCACCACCAGCGCTTTGGTTTCTACGTCACCCTCTCTGTCTGGGTGAGAACCCGCGGTCCTTACTCAGGGTCAGCGGCCCCTGCTGGGAGCTGTACTGAAGGAGTGGATGAGGTTGTTGGGATTTGGCTGTCTATGGCTCCCCCCCCCCTCTCTCCACCCCGACTCCTTGTTTCTCCCTCGCTCTCTCCACCTTTCTGTAGCGGTCTCACCTCGGCGCAGTTCAAGAGGGCTGGCGCTAGAGGAAGTGCAACCTGCCAGTTAAAACAATACCCAGAGCATCCTCGGTCTCTGCGTGAATCCCCAGGTCCTGCCGCTAACTCCTCTCCTGGCCTGTGACAGCTGTCTCGGGGACAGATACCAGAGCCCAGGAGCTGTCTTCTAATCCAGACAGATCCCAGCTCACCAGCGCCGCGCCTCCCCTTCACAGGCTTTCAAGAGCTTCCTTTACGGCCTGTCAGGAGCCTTGTGTCTATCCTGCTAATCGCTGTCAGAGAGAAGCAGAGACTAGAGTTTACAATGGGGAAAGCCCCCTGGGGGACCAGTTCTGGGGCTGTAGACACCAGCATTTCAGCCGCCGGCATTTTTACAGCCAGGCGATAGATGTGGAGCAGCAGAGAGTTTAACAGCAGAGAGGCTGATGCACGCCCGTAAGAATCGGATGGAAAACCAGCAGCACTAGGCATGTTCCCAGTGGGGTTTTCTCAGCACACAGAGAGCCAATCAGTGTAGGCCCCAGACCTGCCGTCTGAACAGGGAAGGCCAATGGCTTCTCAAAGGGTGGAGGGAATCAGAATAATAATGAATAACAACATCCCGTTTGGACATAACCCCGCTTCCTGCCTAGGGCTTGTCAGTGGGGAAAGGTTAGCGGTGAAGCCATAGGCATGATACTGCCAGGTGAGTGCTAAGGGCCAGGTGAGTGGTAAATCAATGGGTTTTAGGCACCTAAATACTTTCAAAAACCTGGGCCTCTTTCCTGTTTCTGTGGCAGCTCAGGTGGCTCGCACACATGTAGATATTTACCAGGATGAAAAAGCAAAGGACATTAACATAGATCTCTCTCTCTCTCTCTCTCTTTCTTCCCTTTGCATCACCGTGTTTCCTCTCTTCCACTGTCTGTCCTTCCCTGCCTTGCTCCTCCATCTCCCGTCTTTCCCCCTCAGAGCTAGATGGGGAGGCAGTAGTTGAATCTGATGAAGGTAAGAAGGGATATTTTCTCTTTATTCATGCGAACTCTTTTGGCCAAAAAGAGAAGCTGAACTGCTAAGCTCATTAATGCTGAGACATCTGGTTGGCTTGATTTGTGTGGTATGCAGAAGGGTCAAAAGTGCATACAGGATTGCACCGCAGTGCGGCCCGCCAGGGAGTTATACGTAGGAGCTAATCTCGAAGCAAATAAATCCAGGTAGAGCTGCCTGAAACTGAAGTGTGCAGGAAAATGATCAAATATCCAGGAGTGGCATTTCAGCCTCTGCTAATCACTGTTCCTTGTGCTCTCGGATCACTTCCTGTCGCACTGCCTTCTGGCAGGCGGTACTTCCTGGAATGCCGTTCCCACCCCAGTGAAGCAATGTGCCGTGAGATCATTGCACTGGCTTCTGCAGAGGTTCGTTCTGAAACCCAGTCAGGATGGTGCCATGAGATAGAGCCGCAGCAGTGGGGTACACTGCTCTCTGTCCTGCCTGCACCCCCCACAATGGGGAAGTACTGATGCTGACCACTGTTCTTTTCACCTTGATCCATGCTTCCCTCAATGTGTATGCAGCCAAGGGACATGCCTAGGTGAAAGGTGAAATTTTCATCAGCGCCTAAGTCCCATTTTCAAAAGTGGCAGAGCGTAAGGCTCCAGAGGACTAGAACCCGGGTTTGCAGGGCTCCGGGTGACTGACATTTCAGGCCACCGCCAGGTAGCTGTAGCAGAGGTGTGATCCATACAGTATAAACCCTGGGGGCTCTACACGCACCTGGCCTGCTGCGACAACAGACGCTGCTCTTGTGCTCTGACCTTTGGCCCTGACTCCAGCTCTGACCTTAGGCCCAACTCCTGGTTTCTGACTCCGGCTGTGACCCCTCGCTTGACTCCTGCTCCGGCCACCAGGTCCTAGTCCTGCTCTGACCACTAGGCATGACTCCTGGTCCTACCCACCAGGCCGGACTGCCACATCCTGGTTGTGGAACCGTTGGAGAACCATTGACTTTCAATAGGGCTTAGAGTATGTCTACATGGCAAAAGCTGTGCATGGGCTAACCTGCCCAAGCTCGCTTCCCTCCAGCTAGTCTCAGTGAAAACTGCAGCACGAGCTTCAGATTTTCAAAGAGCTCATTTCCAATTTAGGTACGGTCACGGAGTGTGGGGGGACACCAGGCCCTGCACCCCCGGCTTCCTGCGATTCACCAGGACTCTCAGCCAGCCAGGAAAGGAGAAGGTTTATTTAGACGACAGGAACACAGTCCAAGACAGGTCTTGCAGGCACAGACAACAGGATCCCCCCACCCCCCCAGTTAGGTCCATCTTGGGGTCCCAGGGGCACCACAGTCCCGTTGGGGGGTCAGAGCCCTGTCTGGGCTCCCCTCCATTACACCAGCCAGCTCCTGAAACTCTCTCCCCAGCCTTTGTTCAGTTTCCTGGGCCAAGGTGTCACCTGGCCTCTAACCCCTTCCTGGGTTCTCATGTTACATGCTCAGGTATTCTCCCTCGGCCAGTCTCCCATCCCCAGTGCAGACCGTCCTAGCCACACTCCCCTGCCTTCCCAGCCAACACTCCCCACTCAGCATTCAAAGACCACATTAAGAACAGTCCCAGTTCATCACAGGTACCAAAATAAAGGACCACATTTTCTTAACTGCTAAGCCCCCAGGAGCTCCCATTGTGACCATAGGGATCGATTTCACAGAGGTCAGTTCTCAGCGACTCCTAAGTCATTAAGATGTTTTTGTGACTGATACCCTAAGGCCATAAGACTCCCAAGCTCTGTGTTTTTGCTGACCCGAAGGGAGTGAAAATATAAGCAGAGACACAGAGCTCAAGTTCACGAGTTTCAGATGCTGCGACGTGCTTTAGAACAGGTTCACTTGCGGTGCAGTTTGTGCTTTCGGTCGCTGCTGCCTTTCCGAGCGGAATGGCAAACACTGTTAAACAAGAATGTGCCAGTGTTTATAGATTGGGGACATTAGCTTCAAACGAAACATAAGCAAGCGCCTTGTGGATACAGAAGTTAAGAGCTTGGAATCCACACGCCTACACAATCTGTCTCCGTGCTTTCCTAGTTAATGTGTTGCAGCCAGATGGTGAGGCTGTGATTGGGATGGCACGGTCCTATTTTCAGTCACTTCTGAGTTACTCCTTGGGCTGAGTTTTCTGCATGTATTTCAGTCCCGTCTGAACCTCTCTGGGGAGTTTCAGAAGAATCTGTCCATTTTTGCTACACCCAAAGCAGGCTTGGCAACCTCTCATGATTTTACCACAAATCTTTATTGTGGTGTTTGCCTCAAAGACCCAGCTCTTGGAGTCAGGAGATTACAGGACAATTTCAGCTTTAATTAAAAAACAAAGTTTCTCGTCCTCATGGCTGCAGAGAAAAGCCTAAAAATGTGGCAAGAACTGGTGGCAATTTTTGTTATTGTTCAAAATGTTTTTCAACAAGAACATGACATTTTGGTCAACGTGGCATATTCTGTGGTTAATATCATTTTTCAACCATTTCCCCCCCATTTTTCATTTTAAAAAAGGAAAATGTTCATCCCAAAACAGAATATTTTGGGAGTTTGGCTGAATTTTTTTCAGCCAGAAACGGACAAATGTTTGATTTTTCAGGTTTTCGGTGGTTTGACATAACCCCAAAATCCTTTTGAAGAAAAATGTGGATGAAAATGAAAACTTTTTTGTTTTTATCAAAATTGTTTTGCAGACCAGGTTTAAATGTGACCTCTACAGTTCAAAACCAGAAGGGGAATAAAAAAAGACATGAGATTTTTTAAAATACATTCTTTTAAAGCCAATTTCATGGGTTTTAGAGTCTGACTCATGCGCTTTGAACACTTTGGGTTGGCAGTACTGCCTGGCCATTACAACATTCTTTCACCCATTTTCTGCATGACTCAGATAATTTGAAGTGTTGTGTTTTAAAACCTAGCATGTTCTGGCTCCTGAAAGAGGACCAATGCTTTTGCCACGAGGAAGAAGTTAGCTGAGCGAGTTGACTTTTTTTGAAAGAAAATTTTTTTGATAGAAAAATGCCCTTCCCTGCCTAAAACGATATTTTTGATCTTGTCAATACGTTGTGGGTTTTAAGTATCAGGGGGTAGCCGTGTTAGTCTGTATCTACAAAAACAACAAGGAGTCTGGTGGCACCTTAAAGACTAACAGATTTATTTGGGCATAAGCTTTCGTGGGTAAAAACCTCATGCATCCGAAGAAGTGAGGTTTTTACCCACGAAAGCTTATGCCCAAATAAATCTGTTAGTCTTTAAGGTGCCACCAGACTCCTTGTTGTTGTTGTTGTGGGTTTTGTGCCTTTTTTCCCCGTACTTTTTCTCTAACACTTTTGTAAAAAGTTTCTGTTTCCCCAAAACCAGTTTTCAGCAGATGAAACATTTTGGTGGCCTTTTCAATAACACTTGTGATAAAAGGGAGGGGAAAAATGCGCCCACAAATTTGGGAAATGGAAAAATGTCTCTGTTTTTTTAACTCAGTGCAAAAATGCAAAAATAACGAAGTTTTGAAATTTTTCACAATTTTTTCCCCATCTACGTTTAGAATGAACGTTCTAGCCACTGGAGAATTGCATATCACAGCCTACGGAAGGCTGCATGGTACAGTGATTGCGCACTCAGTTATCAGCTAGAAGTCACTGAGTTTTACTCCTGTGTCAGATCCTGGTTCACAGCGCAGCCTTGAGAAACAGCATAACCATTCTTTGATTCATTTCCCAGCTTTAAAATGGGGAAGAAATTTATCAAGGTGTTTCAACAATTTGTTAACCACTATGCTTTGAAAAAAAACAACCATGTCTTATGCATTGTGTCCCTTGAGGGTGGAATAAGGGTGCGATTCCCAGATATTGGAGCATATAAATGTTCTTGCCGCTCCCAGCAATCCTGGCCAACGTAGAGGGGTGGGGGGATTTGGACAGGAAAGCCCTTCTGAAGCGGAGATCTTGGTCAGTAGCACGCAGTAGGCTTTGTACGCTTAATCGGCGTGAGCATCTGTTCTCTATCCTCTTCTGGCCCCTGCAACTCTCCTTAACTGTCCGGCTTGTTCTGTGCTTTGTGCAAAGCCAAGGGATGGGCTAACAGAAGTGCAACCTGGGATGGATTCGTCCTGGCACTCACAGAAAGGTGCACCTGGAAGGGTGGGACTGAGCCCATCGCAATGTGATTGTTTTCATTGGATGTGTAAAGCTAAGCAGGGTTTAGCTCGACACTGTGGAAACTATACCTGGGTTCCTTTCCGCGTGTACATTGCAATGGGGTTTTTCATGACCTGATCCTGCTAGATAATGGGATAGAGAATTTGGCCAATAATATAGTCAATTAGAATGGAAAGGAGCTGCATAAAATCGCAGGTGCAGATTTTCAATTTCTAATTTACTGGATGTTCCTCCAGATCTGACTAGCTGAATGCCGAATATCTGAATTTCTACCTGCAGCATCAGAGCATGGAGTGAGGGCCCTTTACAAATAATACCCTGTATGTATCAGGGTGTATCTCTGGCATTTTTAGGGTTATAGCGAGCTCTGCGTGGGGTGTGTTCCCACCCACCCTCAATTGTTCATGTGTCTCTTCCTTTGTTCTTATGATGTCATCCATAGAGCCTTCCAGAAAAATCAGAATAGACAAGATCTACATTTTTAATCTAAAAAATATGCGGAACTCTCTTTTCTGCCCCCAACCTTGGCACACCCACCTCCTCTCTTCTTTGCCCATGACCCTGATTTTCCTTGTGTCACTAGACGCTCTGCATGAAGAGACGATGTTGGCATTCTGCAGCCCTTTCTCCTGAAGGCTGACTCATGCACTTTGACTGGCTAATTTTGGTCGGGGCAGGGAGCGGGATTTAATTACTGAAGCGGGGGAAGGTGTGTTACCCCCATTCTGCAGGTCACCCTAAGCAGCACTTTGGCCCTAGGCCGAGCCGACCCAAGTGCTGGGTTCGGCCAAAATACCGAAACCCACCTGGAATGTTCTGTGTGAAAAGAT